TACTCACACAGCAACTACTAGCTGGCCTCCGTTACACTCACCCCCCTAAACCTCACTCTCATCCGGGTCATGGCACCAATGTAACCCCTAACACCCGGGTCCTACTCGCCCCGCTCCGAGCGGGCCTCGAACCCAGATCAGGAAGTGAGGTTTACTCACACAGCAACTACTAGCTGGCCTCCGTTACACATGCATTGATTAATCCCATGGCATGTAGCAAAAAAAAAAAAAAACGCGACGAAATCAAAAGCTGGTGCGACCAACTGAGAAAGTTGGTAGCATCAGTTTAACCTGGTTTCTAAGGGTACAGTTGTCTCTCGTGTTCTTGTGTTCCCCTATTCAAAACTAAATGTTTTTCTTTTAAAACTTGCATCAGTATCATGGATCAAAATGTTAGTACACAAAACCGATGTAGCCTAAGGTTTAAAAGTATTTGAGCACAAGTAGGCCAAATGCATCAATTCAGGTGGTGAATGAAAGAACCAGTCATTACTATAATCTGATTTTATTATAGATTTATACACTGTTTATACTTGTTTATATTCAAATAATTAAAAAAATAGATTTCATTCAAAATTGAATTTTCATTTTGCTACCCGCGTCGTACAATGCCATGTGTTAGGGGCCCACTGACATTGAGAGTGTACAGGGCCCAGAATTTGGTGCTACGCCCCTGGTCACATTACACTCTTTTAACATTAAATAAAGCACAAACAGCACCTGATATTATCATTGTCATTGCCAAACTTTGTTGTTGTTCCAGCCGCGAAATGGGCTCTATGCACGGCAGTATTTCCGGTGAAGGTGTTAAGGATGCTCGATAACTTCCGCCGATGCAATGCAATACCGAGTCCAATGCAATACCGAGAATTTATATTGAATTTTATACTCCATGGTTATACTAAAGAAAAACAGATAAAACAGACACCCCTCGTTGTGTTTAAATTATGCTTCTTTTTAAAATTATATTAAATAAACATAACTATAGACCCCATTTGCGCCGACGTCACAGTTACGTCACGGCGCTAGCTGGAGGCAAAACAAAGTGAAAACTGGAGGCGGCCAATACAAAACAGCACAGATTCGGCTACATAATAAGGAGCTTAAATAATTGTTACTATTATTAAATGTCATCTTGTTGTGTTGTTTGGTCCAAGAATTGATGAAAAATGAATATGCTGTATGTATCTGGAACTTTTATTTCTAGAAAATATTCACATCACGAAAATCGCACTGTAATGTCACTCTTTACATTGTCGTGGTCTCGGCGCTGGCTCGGCAGAACTGCGGATCGTACACACAAGTCTTGTACAGGACCATATAGGCATCTAAAGATTTATATGCCCTCAGTTTCTCTTTACGATTGGTTTCTCTATAAGGTAGGTGTAGAAGTCAGGCCATTCAACCGAGGTAACGTACGTTAATCCTGTCAGATCGTCCATGCATTGAGTGAGTGTGTAGGCGGCTACAGGTCGGCCAATCTGGTTCCGTCGGTTAAAAATAACTTTTGGAAATAACAATCGCGGTCCTGGACACTGAGTGACCTTACACATTAAGATAATATCGGATTTTCTCCAGTCATTGTTAAACAAGCTAACAATCGTTGCTAACTAGCGTTAGTGAAGCGGCCAGATGGATCTTTCTGCCTCCACCTAAGCTCCGCCCACAAAAAAACGTCACCATGTTTACCAACTGTAAAAGGGTCTATATATAAAATTACATCTAAACGTATGCACGTTTCGTTTCAAATACGGGAGGACAGTACATTTTGAAGAGTCCGCCATAATCCCGTTTTCCTCGGTTTTCCTCCGCTTAAATCTACACAACCGTAAATGAACGAGCATCCTTGCGTCAAATGCGGAACTTATGCGTGCATACAGCCCATAGAAACCGTTTCTAAAATAGAAGCAAGCAACTTTATTTATATTGCCCCAAAGTGCACAATCTCCTTTTGATGTTAAATGACAGCTCTTTAAAAGCCCTTGATCGGAGGACCTTGAGAACTCTAGAAGGAGGGTAGAGAATAATAAGTTCAGTGATGTACTGGGGGCAAGGCCTGATCGGGCCTTGTAGACAAACAAGAGAACTATTTCAATCCTGAATTTAACTGGAAGCCAATGTAAGGATTGCAGTCCAGGAGTAATATGGAGTCTTTTCTCCACCCTGGTTAAAATCCTTGCCGCTGTCGGACGAGCATAGTCATATATAAGGAATTGTTGCAATAGTCAATCTTTGATGAAATAAAAAAGTGCAATTTCCAAATCCTTACTGGATAGAAGATGATTTACTTTTGCTTGATCTCAAGTTAAAAAAGCTACCATAATCAACAGCACCAGTCTGTCTATTGCAAGTTAGTAGTTCACCCCTGAACTCTTTACATGATCTTCAATCTTTAGGACAAGTAGCCTAACCTAAATGATCAGGAAAGGTAGGTGTGATGGGAGATCCTACAATCAATCACCTCCAAAAGTTGCTAGAACGCCAAAGTTTAATGTCACTGTAACATTCCTGTGCTTTGTCCAGCGAACAGGTTTTATCTAAGCTCACAGGAAAGTAAAACTGGAGATCGTCGGCACAACAGTGGTGTGAAATACTACACTTCCGAAAATTAGTGCTTAGAGGAAGCATATACAGAGAGAACAACAACGGCCCCAAAATTGACCCCTGAGGAACACCACAAACTAAAGGGACCAATGTGGAAGAAAAGTCTCCCAGATTTACAGCAAATCTGTCCTTTAAATATGAGGCAAACCACTGAAGGGTTATAACTGGACAGAGGAATCTCATGGTACATAGAATAGAATCGTCTCGTGTCGCCCCGTCGTGGCTGGTGAGGACAAAATCTCTGATTAACATGGAAAATATACCTTTTATCGTGTGCAGTGGCGTCGCGTGTAGTAGTTAGCAGTGTTGGGAGTAACGCATTACAAAAGTAATACATTACAGTAACATATTACTTTTTGCTGTAACGCAGTAGTGTAAGGCATTACTAATCAATTTTCAGTAATATTTTACTCGTTACATGTTCAATGAGGCTTGTATTACAGTTGTATTACAGTGTATTGTCTGCTTTTACTTCTTAAAGGCAACAGACTGTGTGAAAGTTTTAAAGCAGTCTTTTAGTGCCAGTTCAGAGCGGTCACGTCTGTAACATTGTTTTTTCCTCATAAATGCGAACACGAAAACTAAAATAAAATGAATATTTTAAGTTCTATGAAGACTGCAGAGCCAACCCTTCCTCATCCGATTTGCGCAGTGTAATTAACAGAATTACAAAAAATATATTTTGCCTCCTATTTTTTTGTCACGCATGAATGTGTGTCTTTTCCCTAATATGAAAAATAAAACATAGACTGATATTTGTCTAATGTCTGGAGTCCTTTAAGGAAGTAGCCTATATACGTTTCAATACATGTATTTTCTGAGAATTTTTATTTCATGTTTTGACTGCAAATGTCATGTCCATAATGCTGGACTTCCCCAATTTTAAATAATTTATCCTCAACTAGTTTTGTGGTGTAGGTCTACGGATTTTATAATGTTAACTTCAAATAATACTAATAGCCTAATTTAAAGATAAGGCAGCATTGGATCTGGACGGTAAGGAGAATAACGCTGGAGTTGGAAGAGGTGTGTCGGGATTCTGTAGGTTCGTAGATCTGAGTCGTGTGGCGAATCGCGATTTCGGTTTCATATTGCATATCGTTACAGCCCCAAAGTTAAATTCTACTTGGTTATTTTGGTGAAAGTAAATCAAAAGTAATACATGAGTAATGTAACGCATTACAATTCTGAGACAGTAATATTGTAAGGTAATGAATTACTTTTAAATAACAGTAACAAGTAATACCTAATGTATTACAGTTTGGAAGTAACTTGCACAACACTGGTAGTTAGGACATTGTATTGCAAGTTTCTAGTTTGTTTATTTTGTGTTTCATAGTTTTGGCAAACCGATGCTCCAATTTCGTCAAAAATTGTGTCGAAAAAACATGCGTAGGAGCCGCATTTGAGTTTTATTTTTGGAATTATAATTTACTCATTATTGGGTTTTTTTCACATCATGACTTTTGCGTAAACATACACGGCACTTTCAAGTTAAGTTGCGTGTTATCTATACGCATTTTGAGCTAGCCGCATGTATGCGTGTATGTCTACGCCGTTAAATGTCCGAGTGATTCCGCCTGTATGTACATGCCGTTAAATGTCCGAGCGAAACGAAGCAAAATGTAGATCTACATCTGGGGAGCGATTTTTTATTTTATTTTTTATTTTATTTTATTTATTTAAAAAAAAAAAAAATTTCACATGCCGTTTCACATAATTATGACAATTAATGATAATAGTTGGTTTTCCCAAATTTAGACTCATAGAATTTAGATCCATAATCATAAGTCAAAATTACGACTTGGTATGTCAATGATGATTTAGTATGTGATAATGACAACCCAGTATGTCACAATTATGATTTAGTATGTGATCATTTTTTCACTATCTCATAACTTTTTTATCCATAATTGAGTCGAAATTATGATTTAGTATGTGATAATTACAACCTAGTGTGTCATAATTCTGATTTAGTATGGGATAATTTCAACTATCTCAAAAAATGCAGAGATAGACAGTCTAATCGGTGAAGAACAGCTAAACCTTACTTTGTCAAACATTTTAATCTGACTTTTTTTTTAACATGATCATTTATTAAAATTACAGCAAATCTCTCCTCAACAATCCTCTCAGCCAATCAGAACATTAAAGAATGTGTTGCAAGTCTACATTTTTTCCTGAGATCATCCCACAGGTGATCTGTAGGTTTTAGGATGCCGTTACACCGGAAGCACAGCTGGAGTGACGCTTGTTTCCCGCCTCCCACTCGCGCCCTCTTCTGGTTCACTGCTGCAATGACACACTGAATGGAAAGGTATGGGCTTCTAATAAATTCACATATACAAAAGGGTCAAAGTGTAGCAGCACAGACAGAGCTGAACCATGATATTACATGGGATTTTAATGCATTAATGTATTTATTTAGCCTTTTTTTGTGGCCATGATCTACATCACTGGCACCCAGATATTACATCAACATTACTGCCAAACTGTTAATCATAAAGCCCTGTTTACATCTGGAATTAAGATTAATGTGTCGGCTAACAGGGAACGTTCTGGCAAGGTTCTCTTAAAGTTATGAACAAATGTTCATCCAGTAACGTTAATAGAATTTTGTTCAAAGGATTTTTTCTCAAAACATTATTAAAAAAAATAGTTTATGGAACAATCCTAAAACATTTTAGTTGGACTTGCATGTTGCATTTTTACATGTTAGTAATTGATTCAAAATGTTCAGAGAACATTGAAAAAAGTTTCCATAATGTTTGCAAAATGGAACATTCCTTTAATGTTCACATCACCATCAAAAACTTTTTTATGTTTAAAAAACAGGATATTTGAATATTTAACTTAACTTAGAAAGAATTAATCATACAAAACACATAATCTGGGTTAAGATCGAACAAGAGTCAATAAGTTATTATACATTTTCTGTTTTAATTTTTTAGGATTTTGGTTTGAATTTTTGACATGTTCTGTTTTACTATGTGTGTATTTTTGGTCAACATTCATGCTGTAAAAAAGGTGCTATATAAATAAACTTTGACCTTGATAGTCCTGATCATCTTAAAGATCACCACCAACACAAATGTTGTAGATTTATGTAACAAGATACAAAACGAACAAGTCAGTATCAATAATAATAACAGGAGAACTCATTTGTCATTCAGCGATAACAAAAACAATGTTCAAAGAATTACATGTTCAGAATTTTATAAAACAGTCATTTTCTCTTCAGTATCACAATAAGGTTTCCAGTGTTCAAACGTCACAACATTCATGCTGTCAATACGACATGACACTATCAGGGCAAAACAAGAGTTAAATAACCAAAATGAGCTAGTATGACAATAACTGGATAAATAATAATTCTATTGTAAACTGATGTAAAAATACACTCGATATCATTTGAAAAAATACAGGCAAAAAAAAAAAACCAAAAATAAAGGGATATTTTTTCAATTTAGCTTCCAATAAGCCCGTTCAGTGTTAAACACTTCAAATCTCTTACAGTTCATGTAAATATCAGTGACACACACAGTATTGCTCGTCCATTATTCAGTCACTAAAACCTGTAAATTCCTGCATTAATCTAATGTTGCTTCTTTGTTATCTACCCTTAATCCACAAGTCAGATATAATTAAACCACTAATATGATTTTCAGACGCTGCATTATCATCAGGTTCTTAGAGCGTCTTTGGAGCCGTCATTAGCATAAAGGTGGCCTATCAACCCTATTATGTTAATAGCTTTAAACTAATCCGTCTCGTCAGAAACTCGAACACATGCACCCGTACAGTCACAACATCTCTATTATTAGTGCGACCAACGTTCATAACCTCTTATTTACTTACATAAACATTTCTCAGGTTAAATAATACATTAAACTACAGAGAACAAGACAAACGAAATCAATAAATAGCTTTAGCTCACAATCCAAAGGCGTCACACATTTAAAAAAAAAAAAACATTTTTATTTAGTTTCTCTTTAAAAGCATTATAAATAAAATGATGTGCATTCTCTTGTACTGTAGAGTTTGTTGTTTTGAAATGGGAGTAAATTCAAACAGGTCCTTGGTGTCAGTGTTTTCCTCTGAGCGTCTGGAAGGTGTGTGTGTGTGTTTGAGGATTGATTGACAGCTTTCCTCAGCAGTGGCGAGGAGAGTTGGGATACTTGTCCTTCAGGCTCTCCTTGAAGCTGCGGAAGAGGACCCGGTTCTTGCGGTTCTCCTCGTCCTTCCTGCTGTGAAACTCTCCCTGGACCTTGAAGCCTTTGTGCACCACAAACGCATTGCTCACGACGGAGAACCGGTAGCCAGCGACGTGAAGCTCGCAGGCCTGGAGAGAAGAGAGAGAGAGAGGCCGTCTGTGAGTCTGAGTCGGGAATCAAGATTCTGACTACATTCGCGATGTTCATGTTTATTTGAATGCTCTACGCTATCTCACGACCAAATCGTACGAATTCGACGAATGATTAAAAAGTGTCTAATTCGTACGACCTCACTCGTACGATTTGTCTAAACCCACATGATGGGTAGGTTTAGGGGGGGTAGGTCATTCGTACAAATTCATACGCATTCGTAAAATATGAATGATTTAGCAAAATCGTACTAATTCGTACGAGTGAGGTCGTATGAATTGTTACGAATTAGCCACTTTTTAATCATTCGTCGAATTTTTACGATTTGTCTAAAGCCACATAATGGGTAGGTTTAGGGGCGGGGTAAGGGGTAGGTCATTCGTACGAATTCATACGAATTGGCCAATTCGTAAAATATGTACAATTTAGCAAAATCGTACTAATTCGTAAGAGTGAGGTCGTATGAATTGTTACGAATTAGCCACTTTTTAATCATTCGTCGAATTCGTACGATTTGTCTAAACCCACATGATGGGTAGGTTTAGGGGCAGGGTAAGGGGTAGGTCATTCGTACGAATTCATACGAATTGGCCAATTCGTAAAATATGTACGATTTAGCAAAATTGTACTAATTCGTACAAGTGAGGTCGTATGAATTGTTACGAATTAGCCACTTTTTAATCATTCGTCGAATTTTTACGATTTGTCTAAAGCCACATAATGGGTAGGTTTAGGGGCGGGGTAAGGGGTAGGTCATTCGTACGAATTCATACGAATTGGCCAATTCGTAAAATATGTACAATTTAGCAAAATCGTACTAATTCGTAAGAGTGAGGTCGTATGAATTGTTACGAATTAGCCACTTTTTAATCATTCGTCGAATTCGTACGATTTGTCTAAACCCACATGATGGGTAGGTTTAGGGGCAGGGTAAGGGGTAGGTCATTCGTACGAATTCATACGAATTGGCCAATTCGTAAAATATGTACGATTTAGCAAAATTGTACTAATTCGTACAAGTGAGGTCGTATGAATTGTTACGAATTAGCCACTTTTTAATCATTCGTCGAATTCGTACGATTTGTCTAAACCCACATGATGGGTAGGTTTAGGGGCGGGGTAAGGGGTAGGTCATTCGTACGAATTCATACGAATTGGCCAATTCGTAAAATATGTACGATTTAGCAAAATCATACTAATTCGTACGAGTGAGGTCGTATGAATTGTTATGAATTAGCCACTTTTTAATCATTCGTCGAATTCGTACGATTTGTCTAAACCCACATGATGGGTAGGTTTAGGGGCGGGGTAAGGGGTAGGTCATTCGTACGAATTCATACGAATTGGCCAATTTGTAAAATATGTACGATTTAGCAAAATCGTACTAATTCGTACGAGTGAGGTCGTATGAATTGTTACGAATTAGCCACTTTTTAATCATTCGTCGAATTCGTACGATTTGGTCGTGAGATCGGGTTGGAATGCTTTATTTTGCATGACAGCGTCTAGCCAAATGATTGTATGTACAAACCCACTCACCTGACTGATCCGGTTGAAGCCGTACTGCCGGAAGCTCTCGTCGTAGAGAGGAACCGATCGAGCGCCGATGTAGAACGGCTCCCAGGGATCGGCCCAGTTTAAGGTGTACGCCACCTCCAGCGGCCCAGAGCTTCGGCTGGCCCGGTTGACCCACTGGGAGTAGTTGGTGGGAGCCTGACAGCGAGGGCACAGCTCATCGTAGAACGGCCTCACCTCTCCGACCTGGTAGAGTTGCACCAGCTCTGGCTTCGACCCGGGCATTTTACGCGTGTGCCTGATCTCGAACGCTGGAAGAACGAGGACCTCGTCCGCGGCGGGTTCACGTTTCATTAGCATGGTCACGAACTGGTGGTGCAAATTGGCACTGGGAATCATGTCGACGTCGATGACCAGGATGTAGGCCGAGTCTGTGCCGCTGCGGGCCACGTTTCGGAGAAGGTTGTTCGGGTACGAGACGTTGTTTCCAATGGCGTAGTTTTTGTACTTGTCTCGGTGGGATTCGAGATTCGCGAAGACACCGGAACAGCCCTTCTCCTCGAGACCAGCGAAGTGCTCTCGATCCTGCTCTGGAAAACTGGCCGTTTCTCCTGAAAGGCAGACCAGGTGGAAGTCAACCAACGCTTGAACTCGAGGGCAAAACAAGCTGAGGGCGTAGGCGAAGGCCGTCGCGAACTTGACATCTTGTCCGTGGGCGAATATCGCTATAGAAAGAGGATTCTGCCAGCGCTCAAGCAAAGAGCTCAAATGGTGAAGGTTGTTGATCGTCGTATGCGTGGCCAACGCCAGATGGTGCGATCTGGGATCTGCTCCTGGCTTCTGATTGGTGGAGAAGTCACTTTTAATCAAGTTCTTATACACACGATACTGTCCGCTGCCATCGAAGATGCCGCCTGTGGATAAAGAGTATCGGAGATGTTCCCGCCTGGGGTTCTTCTCATCTTGGTTTGCAGTTTTTTTGGATCCGAACAGCTCTGAATACTTGTAGCGCTGCTGTTTGCCATGCAGTTTTGAAAGGAAAGACAGATATAAAAGCTGCAACAGTGCAACAATGAGAAGCGCACTGAGCACCACCTTAAACACTGAGCATTTTTTAGAGAAATGCATTACAATTACTGGTACCTTTTAGTGAATATTAATGAAATATTCTCAAATGGTGTCTATGGCTACAGATCAGCTAGGGTTAGCCAGGGCAACACTAGCTCAAGCTATGCAGCCCTCATGCATGCAGCAGACATTGCATTGACTTGCATTGCATTGCAGCGAGATGTCGTGCAGGTCAGATTGAGCGGGAATTGACTTGCATGTTTAGATGCGTGCGAAAAGACGCCCGTTAGACGCCTGTGGACGAGCAGAAGAGAAAAGCGTTCGGGAAGAGCACGCACTGCGCATGCGTGTTTCCCGTTACGCTTACCGTAAACACCCTAGAACGAGCGCGTCTCTTAAATGTGTTTTGGAATACGTCTGTGGGATAGTTTCCATTTTATAAACACTCCCTGTTATTAGCAATCAGACGAAATATCAGTAAATACTCATTGGATATCAAAAACGTTCGCGTTTAATACTAATAGCGACAATCAAAATAGTGACGGTAAATAATATGGTCGCAAGCGACGAGGTGGCCGAGTGGTTAAGGCGATGGACTGCTAATCCATTGTGCTCTGCACGCGTGGGTTCGAATCCCATCCTCGTCGATAACTTTATTTTTATTTTGATAAATATTAAATTCCGGAAGCCTTTCAGTCTTATACTGCGCAAGCGCTAAGCGACACGAACAGACCGTACTTACTGTTTTTTGTTTATGATAGTACCAGTGGCAGCTGATGTGCTAGGCAGAAGATCTAACAGTTTTAGCAAACATCATGATCCCACTATTCTACACAGGTTAAAAAAAAGTTCAGGATTAAGTTTGAGGGTGATCAATTCTGCAAGCATTCTTCAAGGTAAATTGAATTATACTTTTTTAATTTTATACAGTGCAACAGCAAAAATGTGCAAATATTACAATTGTGAATATATATACAGTACCGGTCAAAAGCTAGGAAACATTACTATTTTTAAAATGTTTTTGAATGAAGTCTCTTGCTCATTGAGGCTGCATCTATTTGTAACAGCAGTAATATTTTGCAAAATTAGCTGCAATACCAAGCATGACCACATGGAGAAGACATCAGACCATTATATGATTATACCAGCCCTAAACAGACTGCAAATAGATACTGTACTGATCCGTTCAGAATTATTAAACACAACTGGAAAATAACATCATTCTGAATGTGTCGAAACTAAAGGCGGGTCGACGTCATCAGTTCCTCCATTCCAAGTGTTTTAGATAAAGGCTTACCTTCTCAAACGACTATAAAAACAGGCGAATATCCATTTTAAAATACTCCCCAGACATGATGTGACCATACAGAAACTTAAATAAATTCGGATAAGATTTGAGGACGCTGATTGGTTAAATTTTAAGTCATGTTATCAACATGTTCACAGCAATTGGCTAAACTGCAACATAAACCCGCCTCTTGTTTCATGCACATACCATGGTATATAAATATGGTTATATTTTTGTATTTTAAAATATTACATGAAACTGTTACTTGATTGTATATTTATTGAAAAAAACAGTCATTTCGTGAGGCAAGTTTTAGCAATGGTTAGTGCAAATATACATAAACTCAATTCTTTTAAATGTGTGCATGATACAAAAATACAGTTAAATGTATTTTGCACATCACAAAACACAGTCTTTACATTTAAAATGTCTAAATATGTGGTGACGTTAGCAAAATTTCACAGCCCAAATAGTATCTAGTGTCAGTAGTTTTTCACCTATCTTAAAGTTCCTCCTAAGAAATAATTTATTTACAGTATGGGGCGCATTATTTGCATAAACATTTTATTGATTTTCTTAGCGTTTAAGTGGACTCAAACTTCTGTTTCGTTCTGACTGTCAATTTGAATAGTTTTAAACTATTATTTTTAACGCTATAAACATTGTAATACAATCGTACTTGAAAATTAAAAAAAATAATAATTCTATAATTTTATTTCACACAAGTAAATAACAGCAACACACACACACACCATTTTTATGTATTTTGCACCAACAAGTGTGTGAATTTAGTGCCAAACAGAACACACAACACTGTGAAAAGATCTTGCTCAACGGTATTTTTAATTCAATAACCAAAACAACCACAAAAACAACAAAAAACATAAGGCTTCGTCCACAAACGTACAGTCGTGACATGATAAACGCTGGAGTGGCTCTGCGGTCCACCGTCACACTCATCTCTCTCTGCAAACACTAGTTATGACTGCAGTCCCAGAGCAGTGAAAGTCTAACCGTTCTGAGGATGCTGGATTTATGCGTCACCACACATCAATGATGTTGAATATTTATTTGCCATAAATGGAACTTGAAAGCAAATAACGGGAAAATTGTGAGAAAGAAATGACTTGTTGAATGAAATGTGTGTTTTATGGTTCTAATATAATGAATGTACAATGTGACTTTCACTCTCTTTCGTGTGTAAGACTAAATGGAGACATGCCAACTCAGTCTCTCCGCCAATATTGAAGCGCCACGGTTTTCCAAGCGGCGATGCACTACGAGACGAGCACTCCCGCGCCGCCTTTAGAGCCGCCGTCGCTGTCTTTGGCTTGACTGGCGTCCGCTTTGCCCTGCCTCTCGTCCTCTCCCACTAACCGGATATTGTAGCGCTCGCGGTATTCCGTCAGCTCGCGCCCTTTAGCCTGCATCTGTGTGTTCAGCGTCTCCACGATCTTCGAGATCTGATCGGACAGACAGAAACTGTGAGGATGCATCATGTACGACAAGCAAACATTTGTGGCTACGATCCGGATACGTTTTCTAAAATGCTAAATTCACCTTTAGCATTAAAAGGTGATTAAAAAGGAAAATAAATGATAAAGTTATCGTACAATTTATTTATTTTTATTACTGCTAAGTAGCCTTACAAATTACATACAAACTAAAGCGTATTAGTGTGGATTAATACCTGTTCTTTATTGTTTTCCAACGCTGGCAGAACTTCTTTGACGGTCCGCTCCACGAGCACGCCGCCGACGAGACGAAAGCACTTCCGTGAGGGATCTACTTCCTTTAGTGTGTCAATGACGAGGCTGTGATGAAGAGATGAGCGTGAGAACAGCAATCGTCTCACACAGCGGGTCAGATGTGCAATCAGTGCTTTAAAAGATTAGTTCACTTTTGCTGATAATTTACTCACCCTCACACCTCAAGATGTCCATGTCTTTCTTTCCTCAGTCGTAAAGAAATGAAGGTTTTTGATGAAAACATTCCAGAATTTTCTCCATATAATGGACTTCAATGGGGACCAAACGGTCCAAGGTCCAAATGACAGTTAAATAACAGTTTCAGATGCAGCTTCAAATGTCTTTAAACGACACCAGACGATGAATAAGGGTCTTATCATGCGAAACGATCGGTTATTTCAAAACTTATTCCAAAAATGTAACTTTTCTAAGGACAAATGCTAGCCTTGCTCTATTCTGTGAGGCGCGATTTGTAACGTCACGTAATACGTACTTGCGTTCAAAAGGTCACGGGCGACGTAGCCGGAAGTACAGAATCAAAATCGTCCGACATCGTTGTTTTACCTTTTAATTCCTTTTTTTGTAAAAGGTGTTTGAGCTAGTTTGCACGTTCAACCTATGCGTTCAACTTGTAAACACTGACTCTGTACTTTCGGCTACGTCGCCCGTGACCTTTTGAACGTAATTACGTATTACGTGACGTTACAAACGCGCCTCACAGAATAGAGCAAGGCTAGCATTTGTCCTTAGAAAAGTTACATTTTTGGAACAAGTTTTGAAATAAGCGATCGTTTCGCATGATAAGACCCTTATTCATCATCTGGTGTCGTTTAAAAACATTTTAACAGTTTGCACTGAAACTGTCTTTTGGACCTTGAACCGTTTGGTCCCCATTGAAGTCCATTATATGGAGAAAAATCCTGGAATGTTTTCATCAAAAACCTTAATTTCTTTTTGACTGAGGAAAGAAAGACATGGACATCTTGGATGACATGGGGGTGAGTAAATTATCAGAAAAAGTTGAACTAATCCTTTAACCTTTGTGGAAAATCATAAGCTAAGTATTAGTATGTGCATTTGGGGTATCACATAAAAAAATACTATGGATGGTAATGCCAAGATGCGCATCATTTCTAAAAATGTGGGGATGCACGATATATCGTATCGGACGTTATTTAATTAATTGGTAAGATTTATTTCGGTCCTCACAGACAATTTTTCTTCACAACAAATTAAGTTATACATAATAGCTGAAGCATTTGCTTATTAATTATTGCTTATTATTAGCCTTATCAATCAAATGAGCATCACTTTTTCACTGGAATGGATTAATAATACAAGAAAAAAATACAAGGTATACATGTCAGATATTCGTACAACAGTTTAAAGTGCATGAAGAAGGGAAGGTTTCACATCAAGTCACGTATTAAACACACACACACACACACACCTGTGTTCATTGATCTCCATCTCAAACTCTGCGGCTTTGGAGGCCATACTGCGCTGCTCCTGCCTCATCCTCTGGAAGGTCGCCACCACCTGAGTCACACAACACACACATATCAATAATGCATAATATTCACAAGCTAGGACATTGTTTAGCAGTGTGCCTAGGGGTCACTCCAGTAGTTTCTCCTGTCCCACGACAGGAATAGAGACACACTTCCTTAAAGAGACAGGAGGGCATTACTAGTTTCTGATGGGTGGAGACACAACACAGATTTGATGGTTCATCAATTTACAGTCTCTCGTGCAGCTCATCTGATATTTGCATTGCGTCTCAGTCCGTCCCGACCACTATATTACACAGCAGCACATCACAAATGCACGCGACATTACAATGAGGGGCGTTGGGCGATTTCAGCTTTGTTGTTTACAGGAGGAGTTTTCTGGTTTTGTTCCGCCGCGTTACTCGCTCGCAGCGAGGATTACATGTTCATACGTTACTGTGATAAACCCAGTTCGCCGTTACCTGCTCGGCAGAAGGAGAGGGCTGCTTTCCAGCGCTTTTACCGCTCGTGCTGTTGCTACTGTTCGCCGCCATGATGAACTGCACCGCACGAGTCAGGACCCCTAACCGTCACATGAGCGGCTGCCCGAGAACAGTCCTGTCTGTAATTGCCGCGAATATAAAATTAAAGGTGTTTAAAAACAAACAAACCGATATTTTTTTACTCGTAACGTTTCTAATAGCAGTTTCTTGTGAAGAGTATAATGTTCTTCTTTCAAAAGAGGCGCTAATTGGACCGCAACCAAATCTTCAGTCTTATCGATGGCGTTTATACGAGCGAGAACAAATATAAACTTTTAAATTTGTAGATTTCTATTATGTATATATTGTAAATCTTGTTTTGAAATAAATATATAAATAATAATGAATAGATGTCATATTGCAGCGATCTGATTGGCCATCCTGCTTCGCGTTGAGAAATGTAATTATTTTTTAATAGTTTACACCTGAATAATGATACTGATAAATAGACCATGATCGTGATACTGATAACTACACGTTAAGTAATTGAAATATGAAAATTATTATTTAGACCAATCGTAACCGTCCAATCAGAAGCAACATCCTAACAGTGACGTCCACACGAGACTTCTGTCCTTCTAATCGAGTACTGCTTTTGTAAACACGCAGTTTACCCAGACATAAACTATAATACATCGCAAATGACAGGGTTGTTGTTTAATTCACATTACTCTGTGATAAGAGCCAGTTAGGTCATGCGGTGTTAATATGTCAGCTGTACAGTTAGTCATTGTCTTGGCAGTGAAACGGGCTCGAAGTGCAAACTGTGCACATATTAACAGAAGCCAGCGTCTCTCACACGCTGCCGATGCGCCTGTCTCCAGCTTCTCTAGCGGCTGCTCTGTGGACTGTGCGAGAACAGATCAGGTGTGTCTTCTCAAGCCTAGGTCTTGCATTTTAATCCACATTCTCTTTATTGTTCATTAAATGTGCATGATGTTCTGATGAACGAGATTTTATGTATGCATATAACGTTATGTTTTTACTTATATTTGTTGTAATCGCAAAATAAATAAACCGTACTAGTCTTGCGACCCGCTTGCGACTTTGCTGAGTAGTTTTGTTTACTGTCCATATTAAGGCGCAATTGATATTGAGTCTCTATAATTTGTATAATGCATTTGGTAAAGGGATAGTTTACCCAAAAACTAAAATTCTGTGATTATTTAGTCACCATCATGTCGTTGCAAACCCGTGAGACTTTAGTTAATTTCGTTCGAGATTTCTTTTCCTCCATTGAAAGCTATGCAACTACAATTTTGACGCTTCAAAAAGTTCATAAAGCGATTGTAAAACTAATCCATACGAATTGAGCGATTTAGTCAAAACTTTCTGGGGACACCCTCGCTATATATGATGAACAGATTGACTTAAGGCTTTTATTCACATATAAACATTCATCAACTCAAACATTAATAAGATTCAGTCTCGTGTTACGCATCATGTTTGAGCTTCTGGAAGAACCAATGAGATTCATTCTCGTGTTACGCATCACGTTTGAGCTTCTGGAAGAACCAATGAGATTCATTCTCGTGTTACGCATCACGTTTGAGCTTCAGTCAATGTTTATATGTGAATAAAAGCCTCAATTCAATCAGTTTAAACAATCAATCTTATTAAGTATTCGAGTCTCTTCATAAAATTTGGACTAAACCGCTAAATTCTTATGGATTATGAACTTTTTGAACTCTTTATGAACTTTTTGAAGTGTCAAAGTTACATTTATGTGGCTGTCAATGGAGGGAAAGAATCCTCTCAGATTTCCTCAAAAGATCTTCATTCGTGTTCTGAGGATGAATGAAAGTCTTACGGGTTTGGAATGACATGTATAATTTATGACAGAATATCCACTTTTAGGTGAACCTCTCTCACATTTCTGATCCTTTCTCTGCTGCCAAAACAGAACGAACACAATAAGTGTAACTTTTGAAAAAATATTATTATTATTAAATGAATGTGCTATCAGGATGATTGATAGTGAATTGTTTTGTCAGGATGTCATCATCACTTCCTGTGGCCGCAGTTTGTCAGATGACCGCCACCCCTGACAAAGAGGCCAACTTCAGTGCTTGTACGCGATTGGTCGAGCAAGCCAAAGAGGGCGGGGCTAGCATGGTGTTCCTGCCGGAGGGCTTCGATTACATCGGCTCGAGCCGCGAGGAGACGCTGGCGCTCTCGGAGAGTCTGGACGGTGACATCATAACCCGCTACACACACCTGGCCAGGTTAGTTAGGCCCACTACTGTGTAAGTGACTAACACATATGATCTAGAAGTCGTTGTTGATGAGATGCTTGTCTGTGGTTAAGGAAGCTGGACTTGTGGCTGTCTCTGGGTGGATTTCATGAGAGAGGACATGACTGGAAAACAGACCGCCGCATTTATAACAGCCACGTTATCATCAACGGGAAAGGTACTTAGTTCACACAATGCACTTTTGTCATGGATAGATGCACTTTTATCATGAATGGATGCACTTTTATCATGGATAGATGCACTTTTATCATGAATAGATGCACTTTTATCATGGATGTATGCACTTTTATCATGGATAGATGCACTTTTATCATGAATAGATGCACTTTTATCATGGATGTATGCACTTTTGTCATGGATAGATGCACTTTTATCATGAATGGATGCACTTTTATCATGAATGGATGCACTTTTATCATGAATGGATGCACTTTTATCATGGATGTATGCACTTTTATCATGGATAGATGCACTTTTATCATGGATAGATGCACTTTTATCATCAATGGATGCACTTTTATCATGAATAGATGCACTTTTATCATGAATGGATGCACTTTTATCATGGATAGATGCACTTATCATGGAAAGATGCACTTTTATCATGAATGGATGCATTTTTATCATGAATAGATGCACTTTTATCATGAATGGATGCACTTTTATCATGAATAGATGCACTTTTATTATGGATAGATGCACTTTTATTATGGATAGATGCACTTTTATCATGGATAGATGCACTTTTATCATGAATGGATGCACTTTTATCATAAATGGATACACTTTTATCATGGATAGATGCACTTTTATCATGAATGGATGCACTTTTATCATAAATGGATACACTTTTGTCATGGATAGATGCACTTTTATCATGGATGGATGCACTTTTATCATGAATAGATGCACTTTTATCATGAATCGATGCACTTTTATCATGGATAGATGCACTTTTATCATGAATGGATGCACTTTTATCATAAATGGATACACTTTTATCATGGATAGATGCACTTTTATCATGAATGGATGCACTTTTATCATAAATGGATACACTTTTGTCATGGATAGATGCACTTTTATCATGGATGGATGCACTTTTATCATGAATAGATGCACTTTTATCATGAATCGATGCACTTTTATCATGGATAGATGCACTTTTATCATGAATGGATGCAATTTTATCATGGATAGATGCACTTTTATCATGGATAGATGCACTTTTATCATGAATGGATGCACTTTATCATGGATAGATCCACTTTTTTGGGCTTCAAATTTTCTCCAGCCATTCACTGCCATTAAAAGCTTGGAAGAGCCAGGACATTTTTAATATAACTCAGACTGTATTCATCTGAAAGAAGAAAGTCATATACACCTAGAATGACTTGAGGGCAAGTAAATCATTGGCTAATTTTCATTTTTGGGTGAACTATCCCTTTAAGTGGTATGAATCTGAATTGTCCAAGTATGCAGAACATGCAAGGGATTTGTCACCAGTATAAGTATTATAATAGTTGCAGATGAAATGACACTCTACGTAGAAGCCTGTATAATAAGATCTGTGTGTGTGTGTGTGTGTTTCTGCGCTCAGGTGAGGTCGTGTCGGTCTACAGGAAAGCTCATTTGTTCGATGTGGAGTTGACCAGTAAAGGTGTGTCTCTTAAAGAGAGCGCTTTCACAGTGGCGGGACCTCGACTGCTCCCGCCGGTCCAGACGCCCATCGGGAAGGTAACAGGCTTGATTCTCATGCTCATACTTTTACACACAAACAAATAATGCGTTAGTAGGGGTGTAACGATACCCTCATGTCACGATTCGATACATATCACAATACTGAACTCTTGATACGATATTATTGCGACACTCCAAGACATATGGGAAAAAGGTTAACAAAATATTTACTATCGATTAAAATGCTTAATATGGTATTACATTGTGGGTGTAAATAAACAGGCTTGATGCTGATAACCCAATGCACAGGACAATAGTGAAACCCGAATAAAAATATTCATGATTCAGAAGCTGGAAATACAGAATTATTATAGACGAACATGCTTGCGCTCTGCCACTGACTAGATATATTTAAAATAATGTGTTTTTACTGGTAACACCAGACATTTGGCATTATCAGGACCCACAAATATTCCTATATTGCATTATTATACATTATAATTAACATTATATATAGTAGTTTAATGTAGTCATGACACTGAAACTCTAAAAACTTTAATGTGTTCTCACACAGTCATTTTCATTTTAGGTCGAACTATCCACAATACATATTGCATTTTTGCATTGCGATATATTGTGACACGACCTATTGTTACACCCCTATCCGTTAGCAATCGGATTGACGGCTCAATCGGACTGAAAGCTTATTCGATCCGATTGAGCTCGATCCCAATGAAATTTCCATCGGATTGAAAGGGATGTTTAATAATTTTCTAATCCGATCGAGAGAACATGCAAACACTTGATCGGCTTGAAACAGAAAGCACTGCGCATGTGCGATGACGTTGTAACAGCGAAATGACGCGTGGAACGAGCTGTTCTTCCCTTTGAATAAAGTGACGTATAAATCATTCCTATAATTCTCCTTTCACTGTTTTGGGGGATTTTTACAGCGTTATAAATATAAGTAGCACATATGACACTACAGTTATGCATATTTACTCCAAATTAGGACCAGAAATGGATAAATATTATAATAGAGAACCAATGTAGGAGAATGGTTGTAATGTGCAAACAACAGGAAACTCAAATCTCAAAAATCCAATTTGAAGCTTGTGACCTATAAACATCAACCCGATCACGTGTTTAGCGTTCATGTAAACCCCATGTTCGGATTCATCAATCGGAATGAATTCAGTCCAGTTTAAACCAAAGTTGTGTGCTGATGTTCGGCAGGTCGGTCTGGGCGTCTGCTATGACCTGCGTTTCCCTGAGCTGTCGTCAGCGCTGCAGAGACACGGAGCCGAGATCCTGACGTTCCCATCAGCCTTCACGGTGGCCACGGGAGCCGCGCACTGGGAGGTGCTTCACCAGATCCGTCATTCACACACTACAGACCTTATTCAGAGCAGCGCCATGACAGGTATGAAAGTGAGGCTGTGAGGGATAGACTTACCGTGTTTCCAATGGCATCCGCTGTAAAAAGCTGAATAAAGCTGCTAGATTACTTACAATTTTCCACAGCTTACATTGTCGGGAGTTTTTTGTCAACTGACATTTCTTGGAAAGATGTTTTTTTCCAGTGTTTCATGAGCTGAACAATCCGAAAACACATTAAATAACAGTACAGCCCATTGAAGCGATGCAAGTCTATCCCTCACAGCCTCGCTTTCATTCTCATTAAAAATCAAAGATGGCGCTGCCGTGAATAAGGCGTACAGGAGCGCTTTAATTAGGACTGGGTTGAAAATATTGATTTCTCCAATTGAATTGCATCTCATTTTGATGTTGTTTCTTAAAGGTGCTGTGTGTGACACAGGCTTGTATATATTTAAGAAATATTTTCATGTATATACTGTATTATATATACTTTATATTATATATAAATATTTTTAAAATAAATAATATTTTTTCTTAAATATATACAAGCATGTGTGTGTATTTATATATCACTGTAAAAAAATATTGTTGGTTTAACTTAAAAAAGTTCTCAGCCGGAAAAGGGTGGCTTGCCCACTTCAGGTTGGTGGAGAGATCCTTCCTCAAGTGGAGGAGTTTAAGTATCTTGGGGTTTTGTTCACGAGTGAGGGAAGGATGGAACGGGAGATTGACAGACGGATCGGTGCAGCTTCAGCAGTAATGCGGTCGATGTACCGATCTGTTGTGGTGAAGAAGGAGCTGAGCCGTAAGGCAAAGCTCTCAATTTACCAGTCAATCTACGTTCCTACTCTCACCTATGGTCATGAGCTTTGGGTCATGACCGAAAGGACAAGATCCCGGATACAGGCGGCTGAAATGAGCTTTCTCCGCAGGGTGGCTGGGCGATCCCTTAGAGATAGGGTGAGAAGCTCGGTCACTCGGGAGGAGCTCAGAGTAGAGCCGCTGCTCCTCCACATCGAGAGGGGTCAGCTGAGGTGGCTCGGGCATCTGTTCCGGATGCCTCCTGGACGCCTTCCTGGGGAGGTGTTCCGGGCACGTCCCACTGGGCGGAGGCCCCGGGGAAGACCTAGGACACGCTGGAGAGACTATGTCTCCCGGCTGGCCTGGGAACGCCTCGGTATCCCCCCAGAAGAGCTGGAGGAAGTGTCTAGGGAGAGGGAAGTCTGGGCATCTCTGCTTAGACTGCTGCCCCCGCGACCCGGCCCCGGATGAGCGGAAGAAGATGTATGTATGTATGTATAAAAAAGTAAGTAACCTGGTTGCCTTAAAATTTTAAGTTGATTGAACTGGAAAAAATGAGTTAATACAATGAAGGAGATTGATTTAATCATCAGAAACTCAAAATAATAAGTTATCTCAACTAAATAAATTAATATAAATTTGATTTGACGAAAGAAAATATGTTGTGATAACAAATCTTGAAAATATTTTTTTACAGTGTGTATATATATATATATAATTATACATGTATAATTATATTTATAATAATTATATATATAAGATTATTTATATATAATTATATAATTAATTATATTAATTATATAATTAATATAATTATAATAATTATAATATAATTACACTGTAAAAAAAATTCAAGATTTGTTATCACAACATTTTTTCTTTTGTCAAATCAACTTAAATAATTTATTTAGTTGAACTTATTATTTTGAGTTTCTGATGATTAAATCAATCTCCTTCATTGTATTAACTCACTTTTTCCAGTTCAATCAACTTAAATTTTTAAGGCAACCAGGTTACTTTTTTTTAAGTTAAACCATCAATATTTTTTTACAGTGCACAGTGCACCCACATATATTATGTAAACACAAACTTTAATTTTTGATGCGATTAATCGTTTGACAGCCCTAATATATAATTAAGATCAGAATTGAATTGCAAGCTTGAATCTGCGTGTATTCTCATGGTGAAGTTGTTGTGTCCCGTCAGGTGCTCCTGCGGGCGAGGGCGATCGAGACGCAGTGTTTCGTGCTGGCGGCGGCTCAGGTCGGGTCGCATCACTCGCGGCGGGCGTCTTACGGACACGCTCTCGCGGTGGACCCGTGGGGGGTGGTGATCGGGGACTGCGGGGGGACAGATGTGGGCGTCGCGCTGGTGCAGATCGACCTGCAGACGCTACGGGACGTCAGGAGGGACATGCCAGTGCAGCAGCACCGCAGAGAGAAGGACTTTTACTGCAGCTTGGACTGAAACACCCGCTTATGAATAATACACTCTCATGCATAGTGATGATGATTCATGACTTATTAATAAATTGGACCCAGGTTGGATTAATGATTTGACTACTGTGGCGCTTCAGTCGTTAGTGAAAGACTGATCATGACACATGGGCTAGAATTAGGCCAAATGTCTTTCTCTTTAAGAGATGAGAGCAATTTATTAATAAAGAGAAAGTTATATGTACCATCATGCCTTTTTTTTTTTTGTTGTTTGTCTTTGGCGAATCACAGCTTTACTTTAAAACAAGCCTGTTTGGGCTCCTAAGCATGTAGGTTTATATGGTCATATTAATTGAAATTGAAATCCTGATGTTGAAACTTTGCTCTTTGCTTGTTAATACTATTATTATTATACTATAATATTTGTATAATTTTATTCTAAAATTGTTTTTTTATATGTGCATGTATCTTTATTTCAATGTATTATTCTTAACTACCCTATTTTTGCACCTTTGTTTCATTTTGATTATGTAATTATGTTTTATAGTAAATTAATTTGTCATATTTTATGATATAGTACTATCATAAAATTAATTAAACTTTGCGTTATATTTTTTTATTTTACTTGCTCGTTTGCTTTTCACTGCCGTTAATTTGATTTTATTATAACTTAATTACTTCCTTTAATTTCGCACTATTGTAATTCAATTAATATATTTTTCATACTTCATAATTTTTCTGTATTATGAATCTAACAGGTTGCATGCACCATCATTAGATTAATTTTTAAAGTAATTATTATTATATATCTGTATTAATTTTTTTTACTTTATCAGCTTCCCTTGTTTATTGATCTGTTGTTTTCATTCGTTATTTTATTCGTATTTTATGTTATTTTATAATAAATTAGCAATTAATATAGCCTATTGTAATATCACAATCAAAAGTTATATTAGACTACTATTTTGTTTTTATTTCTGAAGAATTTCTTAACAATACTTTTTTTTATTAAAAACCCGTTTACTTTCTATTGCCATTTTATTTTTAGAATATATTTGATTATTTAATTAATATTTAGAGGAATTTTAAGATATTTTGAGTTAGATTATTAGTATTATTTATTTATTTTTTACACTATGAATCTAGTAAGTTGCATGTAAAATCATACTATTGATGATGGAGGCCGCGGAGGGGAAACCGGAAGTGATTGTGAACACGTCAGTGACACAGGAATGGGCCAAAACAAGCCTCACCAGAGCAGGATGACAGCCAGTTCCTGAGAGGAAACATGTCGTTGCGTGTTTTGCTTGGGCTGGTGGGATGATTCGTGTGTTCAGAGGTCGTTTCGAGGCATTGCGGAGGTAAGAGCGTCACATCTGTGCGAAAACAGCAGCGCGAGACTGTCACTCATCACAGCATCACATCTCACTTCAGACGCTCCATTCACAAGCAGCTGATCTGTATTTCCATGCAAACCGGTTCATGTGTGCTGTTTTACGAATATACCCATGCCATGCATGTGTATTTCAATGATTGTGTGAACTGGACTCGAAGTTTTATTTGCGTCCAGTCCTTGAATAGAAGTGTGAGATGCGCGTGAGGTTTTCTGTCAGTCCGCTAACGTTACTTTATTGAATGCTGTGGGGTTTACTTGAGCTTTTGTTGATTGATGATGATCATGTACATCTATGTGCTCATAAGATGAGCTGCACACACACATTCGGGCTGTACGTGCTTCTCAGAAACATGTGTGTTAGTTTCTGTTCAAACTGTGCTTGTGTTCTAGTGACCCTGTTTGCTGAGACTCTGATCATTAACATGCTCGTCACTGATGATGTTGAGGCCCTGTTGCCTTCAGTGTAGAGTCACAGAGATGAGATGTTTCTCAAAAACATAGAAACACGTTGTTTTGGCTTTGTACACTGCCAACATCACATGCATTCATGAGTTTGTTAGAGGAGAAGTTCACTCAGAAAAAAAGAAGGAAATTCTGCATGTCTTTCCAAAAATGTGGAAGCTTCTGTCCGCCACTGAATAACAAAATAAAAAAGGTAATTGCGACTTTTTATCTCGCAATTCTGACTATTTGATATAACCTCACACACTGTAAAAAAATATTGTTGGTTTAACTTAAAAAAGTAAGTAACCTGGTTGCCTTAAAATTTTAAGTTGATTGAACTGGAAAAAGTGAGTTAATACAATGAAGTAGATTAATTTAACCATCAGAAACTCAAATTAATAAGTTATCTCAACTAAATAAACTATTATAAAGTTGATTTGACAAAAGAAAATATGTTGTGATAACAAATCTTGAAAATATTTTTTACAGTGAAATTGCAAGTTGTAAAGACAGAACTGCGTGGTATACTTGTAATTGTGAGTTATAAAGTCATAATGGAGATGTGATCTTGGAATTGCGTGATATAAAGTCAGAATTGAGATATAAACTAGGAAAAGATTAAGTTATTACACTCGAAATTTTTAGATACCAGTGAAAATTCACAATTTTTGAGAAATGTGAGTTATAAAATTGAGAGATCAACTTGGAATTGTGAGTGATATAAAGTCAGAATAGCATGATATCAAATCAAAATTGCACTTTATTTTTTATTTTATACGTACTTTATTTTCTGAGAGTGTGTACGACGCAGTATTACAGGATGTGTTTCTGCTGTATGTCATCTTTACTAGTCTAGCATGTTGAGTCAAATGGATCTGAAAGCACTGATTCATCTCCAGGCAACAGTCACCTTGGCGATCCTTCCATGACAACAGAGAGAGAGAGAGAGATGATGATGATGAAAGTTGTGTAAGAGTGTTTGTTTGATGTATTTAGTTACATTTTATTCAGGATATATAATCATTTAATCCGCAGGGAGCGTGAGAAACAGCCAGACTGCACCGGAAACACTCGCTTAATGGTGTGTGTAACTCATAAACAACCGTCTGGTGTAGATTGATCTCAGTTTTGTGTAGCCCTACTTGCTGGACATGTTCTTCTTGATGTGATTTAAGGTCTCATCTATAACACCGTGCTTTATTCACTCTCTGTTCACACACTTCTCTTGCTGACATCACGTCGTTGCTATGGTAACCTGATGGCTGGGCTTTGCTGGTGTCAGTCATCCATGTGGCAGGATCTAAATCAAGACCCATCAGGGCTGCCCGACACACTGCCTATCTAAAACCAAACTTTTATTTTCTAAAAAAATAATATGGAAAAAAAACAACAACAATCTAAATATTGTATTTGAAAATAAACACAAATTTGGTTGCAATATAATAAATAGGATTAAGTTAATTGATAAATAAAAAGAAAATTGAATAAGTCAATAATTGTGTAAATAAATAAATACATATACAGTAAAGTGCTATAGTTAGAACATTTTATAATTTACTTAATATATAATATAATATGACAAAAAATATCTGTATTATAAAGTAATAACGTTTTAACACACTTGCGAAATTAACAGATATTTTATTTAGTTTTGATTTTTACTAAATTGTGTGATGCGTTGTCTGGAATTTGTCCATGATTCAGGAGTATTTTGGTATAGTTAAGTTTGTTTTATATTCTTTTTTTTTTAATTCATATTACTAAAAACAACAACAACTGCTGTTTTCATTACATAATACTTTGAGTGCCATTTGAGTAATGACAATAACTTATGATATTCAGCTATCTGCACATGATTTTTTCCCAGGGATGCACCGATATTAGGCATGGGCAATGATTAATCGCGATTAATTGCATCCAAAATAAAAGTTTGTGTTTACATAATATATGTGTGTAGTGTGTATAATTAATTTGTATATATAAATACCCACACATGCATGTATATATTTAAGAAAAATGTGTTATTAATATATCAAATATTTATATTTATATATAATATTAATTGTGAATAAATATTTATAAAATATATACATGCACATATTTCTTTAATATATACCTGCATGTGTGGGTATTTATATATACAAATTAATTATACACTCTACACACATATATTATGTAAACACAAACTTTTATTTTGGATGCAATTAATCGCGAATAATCGTTGCCCATGCCTAACCGATATGAATTTGTTTTATTTAAAGAAGAAAGCTGATAACTGATATATTGACCGATAAATCTGAATCCAAATTTTTATCTACTTTTTGAGAGCCTGATTACAAAAAATAATAACAAAAGTCTCAACATTCATTCCAGGAAATAATCCAGTGTTTATCGGCTTTAATGCATCGGCCAGTTTTTCTTATCGGGCCGATAATGATGACATTAAATATGAACATATATCAGCTGATATCGATATATCGTGCATCCCTACTATTTTCTTTTTCATAATAATGCACCGGTGCACTTAATATTTGTTTGTAAATATGTCATATTTGTCCCTTCTCATGTTGAATGAGTTTTCATTGGCTCTGTGATTAACTCTTGGATCTCTGGATCTCAAAGAAAAACACTCAAATTGAAGTAAATAAATAGCATTTCTTGCTTCGGCTACTGTAGATTTCTCCTTCACAGAGCCGCTGCTGTTCTCCTGCCCGGCGGCGAAGAGCAACTCCAATCCTGAATCTCATGATTCGTCTGCAGAATTAATTTATTGCCTGAAACATGCTCTTTATTCAGAGGAAACGAAAGGCATGAAGTAAACAATATATTTATATAACACCATTTATTTATTTATTTATTACAATTATAATGTTTATTATTATTCAAACCTTTATATTAAATTATTATTTTTTGACAAAACAAATATTTATATTTATTTTTTATTATTTAGCAACATTAATAATTTTTAGCTATTATTATTTAAACTTGTATTAATCAAATATTTATTTTTATTAACAAATTATATATATATATACACACACACACAAAATGTAATATTACAGACAAATAATGGCATTTTACAACAACAATAATATGACATGTATTTTAATTTATTAATTAATATTATTATTTAGCAACATTAATAATACTTATTATTATTATTTATAATTTTACTATTATTATTCAAACCTGTATATATAAATATAAATACAATGAATACACAAACAATATTTAATAATAATGGTATTTCTTAATAATAAAGTAATTAATAAAAACATTTAATTTATTATTTATTTAAAAAAAATTAAAGTAAGAATAATACGTTTCCTGTGTTCATGTCACTTTGGATTGTACGTAGAATATGAAAGCGTGCTCCGGACGCTGCCATTATAAAGCTGGTTAATTATTTCCATCGATGTTATTATTAATGATTCCAGTCCAGCCGAGGCTTGTGACTCTGCACACGAGGACTCGTGATTCGTCTCAGACACACACACACATGGAGAAAGAGAGAGAAAAAGTGAGAGAGAGAGTGACAGTGAGTTGAAAAGTACTAAATATTTCAAATCAAAAACACAGATCCTAACAATCAAGAAGTCTGTCATCAATATCACGAAGCTCTTAGAGTGTACAAACAAACTCTAGAGCAAACAAGGAAGAACACACACAACAATTATTTCAAGCAATGGAGGAGTTGGTGAATACCAGTAACGTCTGGAACATTTAGAACAGTACGAACTTTTAGAACAGTAGAACAGTAAGAAATTTTGGAACAGTAAGAGCATTTGGAACTTTTAGAACAGTAAGAACTTTTGGAACATTAAGAGCATTTGGAACTTTTAGAACAGTAAGAACTTTTGGAACATTAAGAACTTTTGGAACATTTAGAACAGTAAGAACTTTTGGAGCATTTGGAACTTTTAGAACAGTAATAACTTTTGGAACGTTTAGAAGAGTAAGAACATTTAGAATAGTAAGAAATTTTGGAACAGTAAGAGCTTTTGGAGCATTTGGAACTTTTAGAACAGTAAGAACTTTTGGAGCATTTGGAACTTTTAGAACAGTAGAACAGTAAGAACTTTTAGAACAGTAGAACAGTAAGAACTTTTGGAACAGTAAGAGCTTTTGGAGCATTTGGAACTTTTAGAACAGTAAGAACTTTTGGAGCATTTGGAACATTAAGAACTTTTGGAACATTTAGAACAGTAAGAACATTTGGAACAGTAAGAACTTTTGGAACAGTAAGAACTTTTGGAACTTTTGAAACAGTAAGAACTTTTGGAACAGTAAGAACTTTTGGAACAGTAAGAGCTTTTGGAGCATTTGGAACTTTTAGAACAGTAAGAACTTTTGGAGCATTTGGAACATTAAGAACTTTTGGAACATTTAGAACAGTAAGAACTTTTGGAACAGTAAGAACTTTTGGAACAGTAAGAGCTTTTGGAGCATTTGAAACTTTTAGAACAGCAAGAACTTTTGGAGCATTTGGAACATTAAGAACTTTTGGAACATTTGGAACAGTAAGAACATTTGGAACAGTAAGAACTTTTGGAACAGTAAGAACTTTTGGAACAGTAAGAACTTTTGTAGCATTTGGAACTTTTGGAACTTTTAGAACTTTTGGAACATTTGGAACTCTCTCTAAGAGTAACAGGAAAGAGCACTCCTTCAGTTCTCTGTTGACTTTGAGAAGGATTGTGATTCGATCTGGCATGAAGGACTCTTCCTTTTAAACTACGGAAAAATGTGATTGCAGGGAAAACATTAGATTTGATCAGCAACATGTTTAGAAACAATACATGTGCTGTAAATATAGAGAATAAACAAACACAGAACGAGGAGTCTGTTCATGAAAATGTATTGTGTTTATTTACTTATTAATTGGTTTTAAAAATTTTGTTTATGCATAACCTAATCATTATTTTGTTCAATGCTCATGTATTTGCAATGACACGTCATGCCAATAACACTCATTTGAAATAGTGTGTGTGTGAGAGAGAGAGAGAGAGAGAGAGAGAGAGAGGGAGAGGTTGAACAACAACAGGCAAGCGTGAGGTGACATGGAGAAACACTGATGCGTTCGGTATAGTGGATGAAGCTCTGGTAATGAAGCGGACGGCGACTGTGATGACAGACTCTCTGGATTTACTGTAAGTCACCAGCTTCCTCTGTCTGATTGTTCCTTACTTGACGACTTATTAGTGGACCACTACATCTAATATCACATATCATTGTGTGATTGTGTGATTTTTCAGAGGGTGAGTTTTGTACTTTGTACTGGGAGTGAAGGACTGAGCTTAGCTCTGACTCAGGGTTTAATACAGTTAAGTCTAGTGTACTTGTACTCTGAATGACACACACACACACACTCACACAGCGTCTGAACACTTGCTGCTGTCATTTACCGTGTTGTTTTCACACTCTCGGTGTGAATATTCTGCGCTCTGTCCAACAGGAGGCGACACAGCGGATAGGATGTTTGTTTGCTTGTTTGTTTGTTTATTATTAATAATAATAGGAAAGTCTGCATTTATATATTCATTATAATAATATTAATAAACCTGCATGGCATTCAATTATTCATAATATCTATGATTATTGTTAATAATAATAATAATAATAATAATAATGAAACTGGTATCTATTTGTTTGTTTGTTTATTTTTATAACAACAACTAATAATAATTAAACCTGCATCGCATTCATTTATTCACAATATCTATTTATTATTATTATTATTAATAATAATAATAATGAAACCTAATGGCATTCATTTATTCATAATATATATTTATTAATAATAATAATAATAATAATAATAATAATGAAACCGGCATTTATTTGTTTATTTATTTATAACAATGACTAATAATAATAATAATAATGAAGCCTGCATGGCATTCATCTCATGTTTCCATAACTCATATCTGTTTATTAATAATAAGAATGAAACTGGAATGTATTTGTTTGTTTATTTAATTATTTATTCATAACATTGATTAATAATAATAATAAGGTAATCAACGTGGCATTCATTTATTTAATAAATAATATTTATTATTATTTGTTTTAAAATGTAGTTAAATAAAAAAATCAAAAACATTAATGAATCCTTTAAATATGTAAACATTTATATGTCTAAAATAAAAGACATAAAATGTTGTTAAATAAAATACAGCACATTAATCATTTCAATGTAGATTTGAACCATTTTGAAAAACATGAATGAATACTACATTTTAAAATGTAGTATGAATATGTCTATTAATCCGTCCATTACACCGGTGTTAGTTCTGTGTGTGTGTGTGTGTGTGTGTGTGTGTGTGTGTGTGTTCGCTTGATTAAACTGACAACTTATCCCTGCATTATACCGTCCTCCACGCCTGATCTGTGAAGTGTGTGTGTGTGTGTGTGTGTGTGTGTGTGTGTGTGTGTGTGTGTGTGTGTGTGTGGTGAGGGACGTGTCTTCAGTCTGTCGTTGAGGAGCTCAGTTTGCTGAATCACGTCACCTGACTGTGTGTGAGTGTGTGTGTATGTGTGTGTATATGTGTGTTCTCAGGGTGCTGTGCTGATAAATGGAGTCTGAGCAGTTGTGCCCACATAGCAACATTGTTTCGGCCCAGATCCGGCCCACATCTGGCCCACATCTGGCACTTGTGGGATGCGGATCTGGCCCACATGCAGCAATGTCTGTGTATAAAAATGGGGTCATCTCAACCTTAATAAGCCTGTTAACAAACAGAATCACTGAAGGAAAGAAGAGAATAGAAAAAGAGACGAGCAGAACAAGAACTACAGACACAGTCTTAGATAAAAATCACCTGAAGAGAAAAGAAGACATTAAATCTGAAGATCTCAGCAGAGGAGGATTAAACAACTCCACAAACAGCGTTACCAGCTTCACTTATTACTAACCAGACTGACTTTATTTCTGTCAGACTTCTACAGAAGATCTTATTGAGAACTAACAGAGGTTTAACTCTGTGTTTCATTTGAAGTCACCATAACATCAGAATCTCTGAAGGAGAAAATCGTAATTGGTTACCATTATGGAGATCAGTGTTTGCTTTAGTTGAGCTCTTGAGCCTAAAGACATTTATTGTCTATTGCTTTAGTTGAGCTCTTGAGCCTAAAGAATTTGTTCGGCTATTGTACTTCTGTTATAACAGCCAAATGAACAAAGAGAGAAGGTGATTTAATGGTGTTGATTGTGCTATACCATAATCAATAATTGGCCTGAATCACTGAGAGGGTAAATTCAGAGTTAAGCTTTGTATCTTATGGATATTATTGCAGAACTGTTGTTGTGGAATATGCCTTTTCTATTAAATCCAAATTATCAAATCAATTACAAAAAAACAACAACTTAAAAGTATGTCAGATAGGCACATACAGACATCAAGAATTAGCATATGAATCTCAACAATGGTGACAAAAAGATTAACTCTGAACATAAGCTCATTAGTTATTCATACAGCAGTGCATGATGGGAGCCATGAATGAGGTTTGATTGGTGGCATCCAGAATACACTGCAAAATGCTTTATAATTGTCACCATTATTGAGATTCACAGGCTGATTCTTGATGACTTTTTAAAATTAGGTTTTAAAAAAGTTATCTGGATTACATTGTAAAAGTTAAGAATATTATGATTTTCAAGGACAGTGTTGTAACATTATAACAATAAAGTAAATTTATCTCAGAAATTGTGCGCTACTCAGGTCAAATGATCGTGAAATAATGACAATGTTAAACAGCAAACACCATGAAATCACCTTTTCTCTTTGTTCATTTGGCTGTTATAACAGAAGTACAATAGCCGAACAAATTCAAAAATAATTGTCTTTAGGCTCAAGAGCCCAACTAAAGCAAACACTGAGTGGGCCACCCAAGGGCCGTCATTAATTGCTGCATGTGGGCCAGATCCGCATGCCACAAGTGCCAGATGTGGGCCGGATCTGGGCCGAAACAATGTTGCTATGTGGGTGTGTGTGTTCTGCTGTGCTGAGAAATGGAGTCTGAAGAGTTGTGTGTGTGTGTGTGTGTGTGTTCTCAGGGTGCTGTGCTGATAAATGGAGTCTGAGCAGTTGTTCACCAGAGGCTACGGCAGGAACAGCTACAACAGCATCACGAGCGCCAGCAGTGACGAAGAGCTTCTCGATGGAGCCGGCGTCATCATGGACTTCCACACAACAGAAGACGACAACCTTCTCGACGGGGACGCGTCTCCAGGTACACACACACTCCTACAGACGCCGCCTTATGAGACTGAGGGTGTGTTTACACTAGAGATGCACTCATATGAAGATTTTGGCCAATACCGATAATTCTTTATATTTGAAAGCCGATAACCGAAATATCGATATAAATACATATATCATTTTTGAGAGTCTGATTACAAAAACAAAAGTCTCACCATTGAAACCCATGTCCCAAGCAATATTCTTTCTTATTATAATTTGATGAAGTCAGGGGAATCCCTGCCGCCATTTTGAAGTGCGTTCCACTTTGTGAAGTGGACGAGGGAAGTGTATTTGGACAGACCCTCGCCCCCGAGTGATTTTACTACATTTGTACACTTCAGGCGGCTCAAATATCCCACAGTGCAACACGATTGAAACATCACCGCAGATCTCGTCTAATCACCACCACTACGAACAACTCTACGATATATATAATAATTATATTTTTTTTATTTAAAACAACCCAAACACATCTATATACATTTGGATGCTGCATTAAACAAATTCTTAAAGGGAAAACATAAATAAATAATAAATCAACTCCAAAGCTGATTCGAAGTGACCAAGGGCTTCGGATGTTCCAGTTCCCGCCAGTAGTCGGCACTCGTGAGACGTTAGCAGTGACTCACACCGAGTGAACGAACGCACCGATAGTGACCATCCCGGGATTCTGACACTCTCTTTCCAACACACTACGCTTTGGGACACTTACACGGAAACGATCTGAAGAGAAAACGCAAAAGTGGCGTTGTGCTATCGCTTTTTATTCTGCTTTTAGTCGAGCGATATATGGGTGGGAAATCCGCGTGCATATGGTGTGTGAAATTCGATGTAGTGTGCACTCCAGGCGGCTAGGTGGCGATGTGGAGCACTGCAACACAACAACACCAAGTCCGCACGCATTCGTACAACCAGAGAATGTCTAATTGAAGAGAATTGGCACTGGCTGGTTACTTCCGGGTTCTGGACTGGCTGCAGTGACACGTGTCTGTCCATGCGGGGGCGCTCGTGGTCGAGTGCAGAATGAATGGGAGTCAATGGGGTTTCACCCCCAGAAATCCACTTTTCTCAGGATGTAATTTTTTGTCAAGTAATTTTAAAGTTGCATTCAAAAGGGAGGGCTAAGATAATACACTCAGCTGAAAATTGCATTTTTTAAGTTCACTTATCTGTTCTAAAAATCCGTTCAAAAATGTGATGACGTCACACAATAGCAGAATGCTAGCGTGTTCGGGCCAACAACGACCTAACCTGTAAGAAATCAAAAGGACATAAGTACTCGTTCATTCGACTTTGGCTTATAATCTATATTGAACTTGCGGAATCAATAATAAAATCTATGTTCATTTAACGACAAGCGAGAGAAAGAGACACATTTAGCCGTTTAGCGCCATTGACTCCCATTCATTCTGCCTCCAGTGGAATTCTAATGGAACTGCAACCAAGATGATACACAACGGGGCTAATAGGAAGTGCCAAAGCTCTCCGTCAGACGGGCTCTGGTACAACCTTCACTGTTGAGCAGACTTTTGCGTTTTTATCCTTTAGATGGTGGAGCGTTTAAGATTTCCACTCTGTAGGGGGGTTTCACTTTTTTGCGTTTTTTTTTTTTTTCAGAAGTCTCTTCTGCTCACCAAGGCTGCACTTATTTGATTAAATGTATTTGATACAGTAAACAAAACAATACTGTGAAATATTATTGCAATTTAAAATAACTGTTTTCTATGTGAATATCAAAGCTAAATATTCATCATTACTTTTCAGTCTCCAGTCCTATTAATGATGAAATCTTTCTAATATGATGCTTTGCTACTCAAGAAACATTATTATCAATGTGTTTATTTTTGTGGAAACATCTTTTCAGGAGTAATTGATCAAATATTAAATATTAATATTAAATGTAATATTAAATATGCATTTACTGTCACTTTTGATCAATTGAATGCATCCTAAAAGGTATAATTTCTTTCTTTTGGGTGCAAGCGTGTATTGGGTCAGTGTTTCTTTTGGCTGTTGCTATTGGGTTTGTGCCTGTAGGACCCAGAGCTGCTTCTGTGAGTGTGTGTCTTTATATAGAAGTGTGTTTTCTGCATGAGATCTGTTTATTATTCATGAGTCCGGCAGAGCTTTGTTGAATGGACCAGCAAACACAACAAGAGTCTCTGTGAAACATGGAGGTGTCACGTTTCAGACTCTCTCAAACACTCGTTGCCTGAGGGGGAACCAGGAACGGATCGGGATTTAAGGGAAGAAAAATTGAATTGCTAGTTTTCTGAGGGAAATTTTTTTTTTAATGCGATTTAAAAAAAATGGGAAAAAAAAGATAGCAGGTTTGCTGTGCTTGATTGTAGGGCTGCACAAAAATTAGACTATATATCAATATGGCTTTATAATAATAATAATAATAATACATTTGTATTATTATTAAATAAAATATAAAAACTACTAAACACAGAAGATGAAATATTACTATTGTAATATTTAAATAAAAAAGACACAATACGATGTGAAAATAAATTTTCTTACATTTTATTTATTTATTATATTTTATTTATTTACATTACAACTGTAAAATTTTAAATTGTGAAAACTTTGTGTAAGTATATATCAATATGGATATAAAATAATAGTAATAATTATTATTTAAAAGAATAAAATAAGAAATATTACCGTTATAATATTTCACAAAAAAAAATCTAATAATTATTAAATAAAATATAAAACATTACTTTAACTGTAAAATTACAATACTAATATTTATGGATGTTTTAATTTAATTTCTTAATGCACAATTTGGCCCAAATTTTGTCAGCAGATATCAATATATAAAATAATAATAATTATTGTTATTGTTATTTTTAATCAAATTAATGTATAGTAAAACAACACTGCAAACTAAATAAAATTATTACTATTGTAATATTTCATTGTAAAATAAAACACATCGTATGTACATTACTTTTATTTTACAATACAACTGTAAAATTACAATAATAATATTTATGACTGTTTTAATTTTGATTTCTTTATGCACCCTTTGCCCTAATATTTTGTGACCATATATCAAATATATCATATATGGATAAAATAATGTATACTACAAACTAAAACATATAAATATTACTGTTGTTGTATTTAAGAAAAACTATAATAATAATACTTTTATTTTACATTAAAACTGTAAAATTTCAAAATTAACCTTAATGGTTGTCTTTTAAACATGAAATCATCAAGATTTTATCCTGATACCCTTATCTTTAGGCATGTTGCATTCACGAATACACAAATTCGTTTTTATTTTTTAATAATCGTTCAGCGCTACAATCTGAGAGAGCTCCTTTATTAAACGATGGGAAATCCGGTGGAAAACTGGCATGACTGAAGCCAAGTCAGACCGGAAACGTGTGTGTATATAAAGAAATGCCACATGGGAACCAGTTTGACTGGCCTTTCACCTTGAAGAGGCATTCCAGTGAGTTCTGACTGGTATCCATTTACTCCGGTTGTTGCTGTATGGGAGTACGTGTCAGATGTGTGTTGCTGTTTATAACCTCGGTGTGATGAAGCAGAAAACACTAGCAGGACTGAGGCGCTCTGATTTAAACACCATAACAAAGCCTATGAGTGACCTCATCACATAGTCCAGACATGTTGCATGGCAACAGAAGGATTATTGCTAAAGGTAAATGGTGATCGTGGGGTGTGAAGGTCTACTTTCTTGAGTACTGAAATGGTTCTAGGTGCTTCTGTGTGTGTGTGTGTGTGTGTGTGTGTGTGTGTGTGTGTGTGTGTGTGTGTGTCAAGCCACCTTATTTATTTATATAGCGCTTTTTACAATGCAGATTATTTGTAAGCAGCTTTACTAATTTAGTTCATTTATATATAGCCGCCTTGGAGTAAACTGTGATGTCATCATCCAGCTCAGTTCAGTTCTCATATAAAACTGTCAATGCAGATCAGTAATATTGTTGAATATTGGTGTCCCTAAGCAAGCCAAAGGTGACAGTGGCAAGGAACCAAAACAAGAAATTGTTGAAAAAATCACAAGAAATTATTAATTATTAATCACAAATGGCAAAACAGCCATGGAAATTGATTGGTCTGTTTTGAAATGGTGTCTATAAAATGAAAAAGCCTTTTGTGCGCTGCTTTCATGTCATATTTAGGCTGAAATATCTCGAATATCTAAGAAGTACTTCTTATTTACACAGTTGTGTGTACATTTTGAAGACATATCGTAATATAATTGTGTCGTTCCATGATACAAACAGACAGGCTAGCCGCTAGCAAACCGAACGCGACGGTTTTTTATTTATTTATTTTTATTAGACATAAGACAACCATGAAACATTAACAGATATAACAAGACATCCAAAAAGATAATTACTAAAAAATAAATAAAAATAGCATACAATAAAGTAAACCGAATGCGACGTGTGTGAGTGCGTTTCGAGCGTGCTGACGTCATTGGCTGCCGCATTGACGCACTGGAGTGACGCAATCGCGCAGCTGTCTTCTCAATCTCACTCATTCAGCGCTGTGATCATGGCCGCCGCGCTCTCTCCGGCTGCCCGAGCGCGCCTGTAACCCGAGGATCGCGATGATCGGTGTGGAGGAGGACTCCGCAGACCCCTATCTCCCATACGACGGTGGAGGGGACACGATCCCCCTGCACGAGCTTAGCGGCAGAGGTACGTCACTATCCGACCGTCCGCGGACCGAGACACTGATCGCCGATAATCGATATACGTGTATCAGCCTGTATGCGCGCGCGTCATGTGTGTTGTCGGAGTGTGTCGGAGCGCGTTTGCTGACAGGAGACAGTTTTTCACACGCACTAATAGGTGTGTGTTTGTTATTACATCAGTGGGAGCGTGTGTGTTGCAATGCACTCATAATAACGTGTTGCAATTGCAACAGATGCAAAAACGCACATAATGCGACAGTTCACTCGTCTCTCACACTCATGCATGCAGTGTGTTGTTTTTT